CATTTCACATAAACTAAGTTCACAGTGATTTGTTTTCCAGTTTTCAAATAATAATAATAATGAGTTTATTGGTTATAAAAAAGTGAAAAACAAAAGGTTCAAAAAAAAAGACAAAAGGTTTTGCTATCCGTCAAAACCGAAGCCAAAAACCGTGATAGCTCAGTGGATACTCACAATAGTGTATGGGATGTCGATGGATGCTGGTGGTTTAGTATTTAGGTTTTCGTGCTTCGTAGCGGTTTGTGGGGGAGGCATATGTACAGAAGTGAACTCAAACATTGTGGAATGATGATAAGGGCATCTTGACTGCGGTCTACTTCGCAGAGAACTGATGCGGAGTAACAGTACTACATTTGCTTTTGTCCGAAGTAAGTTATCGGAATCCTACTCTCAATGGTAAGCAGCAGGCTAGCCACGTTGCTGATGTCGAGAGCGTCTATTAGAGCAGACCACAACCATACAGCTAACTTGCTCAGTTGCCGTAAAAAATACCTAGTCAACGGTCAAATGATTAACACTCCCCACCCTTTCCTAGACTCGGTTCGTAATAAGATCAAAGTATGGGGTTGTAATTGGAACAGCATTAAGTTGATGGACAAATAATGACAAGCGCATTTGTCACCCGCCAACCCTTTTGACACGTTAGAGGGATGTTCTTTTTTCGCTTTGAAAAACTCACGCATGCTTTAGCGAAAGATTAGCTTGTGCGGTTGTAGCAACTTGTTAGACAACATAACAACAATCACTCGTCCATACTCACCTGAAGTAGGAACTTAAAAGAACCTAGTTAATAGGTCTGAAAAGAATATCGTAATGCGGTTAACTATTGCAATGCGAAAGAAAAGACCTTATCTACTTCTGCCAAATTATCTGTAATAATATCTGTCACTCAAGGATTTGCATTTTATGTCTACTGCACATTTATGTATCTTAAAGAAAAAATAATTTTTACGTATATAAATAACAAATAAAATAAAAAATGCAATACAATTAAAAATTCATATTTTTAGTAACAACTGTATCTTAAATCTGGTAATGTGAATATTTTTATAATTATTATTTAAATAATGTTATATCTGTTTATTCATTTTTAACCCTTTTAAATCATTCGATTATTGTTTAATTTTATTTTCGTGTATGTTAAATTTAACATTATTATGAATAAGATATGTAAGTACATACTTAATTTTAGCTTCTCTTCGCTTCTCTATTTTAAGACAAAACAAAAGCGACAAGACTATTTTATAAGTACTATACTTGTAAAAAAAATATTTATACTCTCTCACAACACTTCTATATTTACGATGATATTATCGTATTTTGAAATAAAATATTTAATGATGTGAAATTGAAGCTGTTTGAAAAGCCATAAAAGATTTATTAAAAGTACCTTATACCTATAATACATATAAGTTTGTATGAAATACTTCTATTTGTTCCAAAAATTTACAGAGCCATCTCTTGTCACATTATGAAAATAAATCCACTGCCTATTAGTAGAGATGTATGAAACGTCAATAGATGACGCTTTAATAAATGCATAACTAATTTCCTTAACTAAGCTAATACTTAGAATTTTTAGTTTTAGAGTTACGCGGCGGTATTTTACTGCAATTGAACATTAAGTTCAAATATATTTACACCTCTCAGTTTCTCCTTAAATCAGCAATGCACCTGTAACTTTATTTTTGTTGTTATGTTAGTATTCAATAATTACCAAGTGTATCTTTTGCTCAGTTTTCTTTCATAAATGAAACGAATACATTAACAGAAAATCCAGTAAGGTAATGGGTGTTTCAATTGTACCTATTCAGAAGATGTGTAAAATAAAACAAAAATTGCTACTTATAAATAAAATATTGTATTTGTAAATACATGCAGCATACCCATTACATACTAATAATTCATTTAATTAAAACTTTAATTCAGTCAGTCCCGTTTGGGTGAAAACTTGTACTATTAGTAACAAAGTCCCTTTCGTTCCATCACTTCGCGTACTTTCTCGGGCTTCGGCCAGAAGAACATCAGAAAGATGGAACCTGGGAAAGAAATAAGACTTATTAGAAATGTTTGCTCTGTTAAGAGTATTTTAAGTACAGCGCCACCTAGCGTTACGCTTTATAACTACAATGAACTTAAACGGCTAAGACCATAGGCCATCAAAATTATTACGAACTTTGCGCATAATACTCTTGCGAATCATACTTGTTTATACTAATGAAGCTAAAAAATAGGAATATTACAAAAGAATAGCTGTGCCCGCGACTTAATTTACGTGGAATTTAAAATAAAAAAAATTTTCTAAAATAAAATTGGCCTTAGTAAATCCTTATTACATCAGCTATCTGCCAGTGAACGTCCCGTCAAATTTGATCCAACTGTTACAAAGAGTAGCCAGAACAATCAGACTGACAGACAGTGTAAATAAATGTTATCTTTGTATATGTACCGTGTATACATCAATATGCATTTTAAATAAAGTGTGCCCCGGCTATCTCACTCACCAGACGAAACAGAAGTATTACACTTTCAGTATAAATAATTAAATATTTTAGGAGACATTTTTAAACAACGTTCTCTAGTCCCAAACTAAGCAACGCTTGCACTATGGGTACGAGATAACCGATAAACATACTTGAACATACTTTTCGTTTGTAAATAAATACATATTATACATACACAAAGACCCAGACAATAGAAAAACACTATGTTCATCGCACAATATTTTTCCAGTAGTAGGGATCGAACCCACACCCTTGGGGCAAGAGGCAGGTACACAACCCAATACGCCATTCAGGTCGTCATAGTATAGAACAGTGTCACATGTGCAAGTGTATATAAAGGCGATATTCCTCTCACCGGCCGTGAAGGCGCCCAGGAACGAGAAGGCCAGCTGGCAATTCTGGTCCAAAGTCGCGCCGAGCAGGTTCGAACCCGCGGCCGCGCCGGCGCGCCCCACCATGTACATCACGCACATCGCCATCGCCCTGCCCCGGTGGGACGACATTGAAGACAAAGGTGAAAAAATATAATAATATATACCATATGCAGCGTGTCTTTACAATCGCGACAATAAATGAACACACGTCTAACGCTACTTGCCAATAATCATAAAAAATATTAACGTTAAACAAAATCCATAATTAAATTTTTTTTTTCAAACAAACTAATTAAGTAAAAAAGAAACAAAATTTGTAACATCCTATACAACACGCGTTGTATTACAAGCCTCTCCTTCTAACAGTATGTTTTGTCTCTTTTAAATTCATTCATACCATTCATATGCTTTGTGATCTTTACAAATGAACTTTACGTTGCGATTTTATAGGTAAGGGTGTTCTAAATTCTTTGCTTTGGATTTTATAACTGGAATTTAATAACTGTGTATAATACATTTAATATATAACTATAGTATAATTTAATAAATATTGATGTTTAAAGAATTTAAATGTAACTTTAAAAAGTTATCCCCTATATGTGTGTTCATTAATTGTCGCGATGGTAACGACTCGTTGTATATATATATCCAAAACAAAGAATTTTAGAACACGCTTACGTATAAAACTGTAACGTAAAGTTCATTTGTAAAGGTCAGCATATGAATGGTTGAGTAGGCTTGTAATGGGACGTTGTGGCAATGAATGAAAAAGTCTCTGAATGTATGAATTTATTGTAGTTGTATAGGATGTTACAAATTTTGTTTCTTTTTACTTCATTAGTTTGTTTGAAAAATATTTTTTTTAATTACGGATTTTTTAAACATTAATATTTTTATGATTATTGGCAAGTAGCGTTAGACGTGTGTACATTTATTGTCGCGGTGGTAACGACACGCTGTATATATATTATGTTATTTTTGTTTAGTGTGTGAATAACCTTTCATCGTTCTACACGTTATATCTGCCACCTACCTCGATATCTTTACACCACCCTAAGGTTGACTGGTAGAAAATGACTTTGAGATTAGAAAAAAAATTATTAGTTCAGTAGTAAATTAAATAAATGAATAAACATTTGCAGACACATTTTTACACAATATTATCTAGTCCCAAACAAAGCAACGCTTGCACTATGGGTACTAGACACCTGATAGACCTACCTAAACATACTTTTCTTTTGCAAATAAATACAAACTCTACATATATAAACACCCAAACACTGGAAAGGCACTACGTTTAATGCACAATATTTTTCCACTAGTCAGGATCGAACCCAGCCGGTCGCGAGAGGCAGTTACGTCACTACGCCAATCGGGTCGTCAATAATCATCTTTTAACTAACGAAAAACAAAACAGACTTCATATTTGAAGTCTGTTTTGTCTCGCTTTGTATTCATTTTATAATTGATTTTCAGGATTTCCCTAAATATCTCCGTAGCCCAAGATCCAAGAAATGCAAGAAATGAAATTAATATGGGACCACACAGTCGAAAGTTCTGAAGTAACAAACATAAAAAAAATACAGTCGAATTGAGTACCTGCTCCTATTTTGAAGACGGTTGAAAATACATTCACGTGTCCTTTTCAGACGATTAAGAATCCCGGCACTTGATAAGCTGAAAGTAGCAGCCTCTACATGTCCCACTGCTGGGCAAAGGCCTCCTCTATACAGAGGGTATCAGGGCATAGTCCACCACGCGGCCCCACTGCGGATTGGCGGACTTCACATATCTTCGAAATATTTTTGTTATTATTTCGAAAATATGCAGGTTTCCTCATGACGTTTTCCTTCACCGCGGAGCACGTGATAAGTCAGCGCCTAAAGTTAAAAACTTCATCGGTGCCGGCACCGGGGATCGAACACAGGTTGCCCGAGTATATTGAATTAAAGGCGAGCGCCCGGTCACTGAGCTATCACGGCTCACATGTAAAAAGACATAAAATAAGTACAGTCGCATTGAGATCCTCCTCCGTTTGAAGTCGGCCAAGAATGGAACCCAGGGCCGTCCTCGCCTCTCCATATAACCCTCTCTATATGAGTGTATCATCTATGGTCCTCACCTCAGGCACGTAGGGAACACGTCTACCGCGATCGCGGCGAGGATTGAAGCGGCACACCCCGAGCAGAGGGCGATGATGAGGAGGGCGGTGGCCGCCCCGCCCTGGGGCACGAAGGCCGCCCCGATGGTGGCCAGGCCGCACACGAACATGATGCCGCCTGCGAAAGAACGTATACAGCGGGTCGTTACCATGGCGACAATAAATGAACACACGTCTAACGCTACTTGCCAATGATCATAAAAAATATTAACGTTGAAAAAAATCCATGTTTAAAAAAGATATTTTTCAAACAAAATTTGTAACACATATACAACTACCACTGACTGATTCATACTTCCCGAGACTTTCATTCGTTGCCACAGCGTCGCATTACAAGCCTCTCCTTCTAACAGTATGTTTTGTCTCTTTTAAATTCATTCAACCCATTCATATACTTTGTGACCTTTACAAATGAACTTTACGTTAGTTTTATACGTAAGGATGTTCAAAAATTCTTTGTTTTGGAAAGAACAATGCCCATTTTTGACCTGATTATGTATAGAAGTGAAATAAATATTAAAATTTAGCTAATTTCATTTTATAGTAATTGCACTAATCACAATGTTAAAAGAAGGTCGGGAAAAAAATATTTTTTGATATTTCTTTATGCTTATTTTACTTCAAGGGTAAACATATTACCATGTTTTGAACGCACCTTAGCAATCCTTTGCATAGGACGTTCCATTTTTCACACTATCTACTTGACTGTATTCAACTTTTTCTGAGTTTTGTACGTGATTTTACGTTTTAGAGAAGTGAGTAAGCACGTAATTAACAGTATTTGTATAAAAATTAAGATCAATCTTATTAGTAGTACAGATTTATTAAAAATAAAATAGTAAATTATTAATGCAGCATGTAATAAAGTTCGCACGGCTGACGTAAATGGATTTTTTTTGACATTTGACAGTTCTGCGAGTGACTCATACTCATCGGTATTCGCCAGTAATTGTGAGTATTTATGTTTATTACTATTTTTAATCTAAAAATGTCAATCATGTCCTAATCAAACTAACAAAGCTCCTATAAATTATACCTGTGACATAATACAAACAACTGTTCAAAAGATCTATATATCCAAAATATGTATTATAAACTCAATATAGGTACTTTTTTTTTATTTCAGATTACTGAGGAAGATTACATTTGTAAATCTTGTAATGAACTCTTTATGAGAAGAGTTAACCAGAAATTAACAAGCTGTGATCTTGCTCAAGCTCCAGGATTATCTCAACCAAGTCGAAGAACACATTTTTTGATAATCCTTCAGAAAAGCAAAGACAGATAAATGCTATTATACAAACAAGTTCACAACATCACATATTCATGTTTCTACATTGTTAATCATTTGCCAGTATAAAACTTGATACTATTACTCTAGATTATTTCTCTTTTGTATTTTAGATGTAAATTATTATATCTGTTATTAATTGACTGCTGCTATAATAATTTTAACCACAAATAAATATATAATTGTTTTTTTTTAAATATTTTTTTAAGATTAATAATTATTGCTTTATTACTTTTGTAGATAGTTTTCTTTTGTAGATATCATCATCTGATAGAATATGCCATTCATGCTGGATGAGTTGTAAGAGTGCTGCCACACATATTAGGCATGTTGCTGAAGTTTGTGGTGTTTCTACTACTGAAGATAATTTATTTTTATGTTTCTGAGATTAAGTTATTAGTGAACTTATACTATTTGCATTAAGTACCAAATAAGGCAAGCCAAATCCTATTATGGCGAACATATTCGCTTTCATGGATCATATAGAATAGAAATATGTAGGGACACAGAAGTTTTCTAGGAATAATCTGAGAGGAAGTGGTGACATAACACTAATAAGAGGAAAAATTAAGTCCTGGCACATTTAAAGAAAACAATATAATGTCTACATTTTAATAGAAAATGTGTCTGGCAGAGCTAGTATAGTCGAATACTGTTGTAATTGTTTAGTTGGTTGGCGAACCATAGGATGTTGCACTCATGTTATGGCTAGTGTGGTATTTCGGATGAACTATCAAGAAAATATCTCTGTTATAGCAGAATTTCTGGATACCACAGTTATAAGACATTTAAGTGAAGATGATGATAATTAATAAAGCATTCCACTGTAACATAGTGTTTTATTTTTTCCCCCGTTTTATTCATCAGGTATTATAATTATCGATTATTATGTATTGTAGTGCAGGCCAATGAAATGTGTAGGGCAGATAAATGATCACTTCTAACTTACGTTTTTTTAGTAAGTACTTATGTGAGCTGTTGAAACAGCAGATAATGCTCTTCACCTAATTTATAGTGACAATAATCGAGTCTAAGCAGTGACGTAAGGGCAGTCGGTTTCTAGGAATTCACAAGTATAATAATTACAATCTTATTTTCTTTGTTTTAGGTAATTGCTATAATTATGTAAATTTGTTTAGATATTCTATATATAAAAATATACATATTTAACATTCATAAAATCATTCTCTTCATCATTTCATTATAAAAGTTAGGCAAAAATAAACAACCAGAAGTGTTCATTGGCGTATTCATTGAAAACCGCCAAAAAAGAAAAGAAGGAGAAGAAGTATATATTCACAAGTAAAAAAGAAGTTTTAGACCTTAGATAGGCTAATATTATTATTTTAGGATAAACTTGAGCGTAAATAGTTAGTTCTAGCACATTTATTTCGTTATATTAGGTAACTGCAAATCCTAACCTAAAAAGTAACCTTTTTTTATAATTTTTGGACTTCGTAGACCAGCAATTGTAAAAATGACTATATGATATTAATTTACTAACTTAAAGGTAGTCTTTCTGCTATACCTTGTAACTATACATACACGTTCATTATCAGGTTTTTAAATGTATGGGAAGTGGGCATTGTTCTTTAACAACTCTGTAAATGTTTAAAAAATGTAAATGTATAAATCAATTTTAAAAAGTTATCCTCTATATGTGTGTTCATTTATTGTCGCGATTGTAAAGATACGCTATATATTGATGACTCCGTGGCGCAGTTGCCAAAGTACTGACTGACTTAGGTCGTGGGTTCGATTCGCCCACGGAACAACTATTTGTGAGACCCAAAGATAGCTATTTCGCATCTGGGTGTTGGTGCATGTGAAATTTATGTTTGTAAAACGTCCTTAGAACACAGGATAATGTTATCCTAATGTGAGGGCAATGCTTTTAAAAAAAGATATATAGCAGCTGCTGTCCGCGACTACGTCTGCGTAGAATAGGCTGAAGGTGTAACATTAAGACAGTAAGACAGATATACTTAAAATATGTATATAAATTATAGCCTATGTCTTATTCTGATGTATAAGGTATATTATTGTAAAGTTTGATTAGAATCCATTCAGTAGTATTTGGGTGAAAGAGTAACAAACATACAAACTTTCGCCTTTATAATATTAGTAAGGACATAAGTAAGCATAGCGACGGACATAAATTGTAAATATAGTTTGTACTAAATTGACAATAATAGTAAATAGGTCGTTCATGGGACAAGTGTGCTCAAGAATATTAAAATCCCACAGTCGATGTTAAGTCTGCCGCTTGACCAATTTAAACGCAAAATTAAAAGTGAACTTATGGCTGAAGCATATTATACCAATGCAGAATATCTTGCCAATGTGTGGGGTTAATACTGTACCACGTAGGCTAAAATAAAACATACCTATTCTATTATATTGTAAACTAATCGTTTTAAACAGGAGCAATTACTGTCGAGTTTCTTGCCGATTACTTTTGAACAGAAACTGCTTTCCGAACCGGTGGTAACTTACGAACGTATTAATTTTTATGTAAAATTTTAACGTTTCATAAGAACGCGCAAGCGTCTATGTGAATAAATATATTTTGATTTGATTTGATTTGAACGCGCTTTGGGCCACTCGACTACTGGGCTGACGTGGCTATTAGCCGTAGGGCTGAGGTAGAACAAGTCAGAGTAGAACGAAGTCAATGAAAAATCAATGCCTAAGTCTGAGCCTAACCCTGATCCTAAATCGAAGTCGGGCTCGTAGTCGAAGTCGAAGTTGAAGTCAAAGTCGAAGTCGAAGTCGAAGTCGAAGTTGAAGTCAAAGTCGAAGTCAAAGCCAAAATCAAATTCAAAGTCAAAGTCAAAGGTCACAGACACGGGTCTAGGGTCGAAGTCAAAGTCAATAAATAAATGAAATAAATATTTAGGGTACATTATTACACAACGATCTCTAGTCCCAAACTAAGGAACGCTTGTGTAATGGGTACGAATAACTGATAAACATACTTAAACATATTTTTAATAAATACATATTATAAATATATAAACACCCAAGTGCTGGAAAAACGCCATGTTTATCAAGCAATATGGAAAAAAATTAGTAGCGGGAATCGAACCCACACCCTCTGACGCAAGAGGCGGGTGCACTACCCAACCGGCTCGTGACGCCAATGTCAACGTTAAAGCCAAAATATAGATATGACTTTTAATTTTTATTGAATAAAATGATGTCAACTGATCAAAATATATTCAATCAAAGTTTACTTGAACCACAAAATTGTCTACGCCGATTGTATAAGTTAGATCAAAGACACAAAACAGGTAACCCCATTCCGGAACTAAGCCCACAGCACCGAGCGAAATTTCACTGAAGGTTTGAAGTTTCGCTTACGATTTGAACCTGCACAACTAAACAGCAAGCAGAAACGAAGCTACAAGTCGCAATACGGTCGGCGACCCACTTTCCGTGCAATTATAAACATTTTTTTGTCAAATTGTCTCACTTTTCTGAACTATTACGAGCCAATGATCAATAGAATTGACATTTAGTGTTTTTGTGTAGTCGTTGTTCTTGTATCTTTCATAAATCGATTCAATTGAAAAAATTATGTAACATCTAAAGAAACTCGGTGGGGCAGTTGTCAAGTCATTGGCTTCGCCGCGAGTCGTGGGTTCGATTCCCATCCGGGTTAAGCGTTAATCCGACCCACAGATAACTGTTCCGGATCTGGTTGTTTGTTTCACAAGGAGGGTTAACGTCAGGTCGTAAAAAACTAGCCAAATCTCTAACAACATGATTCATATATCGCGCCGAACCCACCTATGTGGCATAAGGGCATGACAAAGATGAAGATATAGTATGTAAAATACTAAATGTACTAGGGGTAAAGAAACCAAAGGTCAAATGCCTGGGTTCTAAATCTGCTACGTGTCATGCACACGTAGACGAATAGACTGGTGACGATTTAGATGAAGCCGATATAACTGCATATGTAGTTGGTACAGTCGACAATAATGACGTCACGCCCTTGGTGGTAGATGTAAAAGTTATGGGCGTCGGTGATACGGATGACGTCACGCCTTGCGATACTCACAGTACAGGGCCTTCTTGCCGATCCGGTCGATGAAGAAGCCGATGGCCAGGTAAGTGATCGCGAAGACGGACCCCATACCCATCGATATGGGGAAGACCCCCACGGACACCTCTGTGTGGCAGAACTTGAGGTCCGCTTCCAACTGAAATTATGATGCGTTTGATAATAACGGCCTTTTTATGTGCGAGATGGGAAGCAATTGATGATGCGATGATAATGATGTTTTTTTATGCGAGCGGTGGCAAGCGAGCTGGTGGTCCACCCGCCCCACACTTGCTTTAGAATAATAAAAATCATAAACAATGTTTTTTTAATTTGCGTACTAAAAACGGTGGACTTTTCGAGGTGAAGCAAAACCCACCGGGCATCATCAATAAATAATAAATTTAAATAGTTAATTTAAGTTTCAAGCGAATTCGTAGTTTTTAAGGTTCCGCACCCAAAGGATAAAACGGGTCTTATTACTAAGACTCCGCTGTCTGTATGTCTGTCTTCCTCATTAACCGTGATTGTTAGACGGTTGAAATTTTCACAGATTATATGTTTCTGTTGCCGCTATAACAACAAATACTAAAAAACAGTATAAAAAATATTTAAGTGGGGCGCCCATACAATAAACATGATTTTTGCCGTTTTTATAGCCAAAGGTACGGAACCGTTCGTGCGCGAGTCCGACTCGCACTTTTCGTTTTTTTTTAAGTTCAACAAGAGCTTTAAAAATAAATAAAATTTCACTTTGAATTTGTAGGCTAAGTCTATGATGAAGCCATTACTGTGGTAGGTACGCGGCAGTTTCTGCTGTTACTCCAATAGTTAGGCTCTTCAAAGAACTATACAAAGTCCTCACAGAAGACTGGAAAAAGTTTATCACTGTGGTAGGGCGACACACTCTTCACTGCAGCACGAATGGGCAGGTCCGTTCGGAGAAGTGCCACGATCACGCAGAAGATCTTGTATCTTGTATTAACTGATGTTTTTGCTTTCAGTCCCGAGACTATTAAAGCTTCATCGGACGCAGAACCGGTGGGCTAGCCAGAACCCACGGGTTTGGGCCCTCCGCTGTGGGTAGGGCCACGCATGTGCTCATGCGTGCGTTTAACTATGGTGTGTCATCTAAGGGCCATCGAGGTCGTGGTTCGGACCGAAACCCCGATGGCCGTCGACTGTGCAATTAGCTAATCGGTGGCTGGGAGCGGTGAGAACCACTGCGGCACACAGAAGACCGGCGTAAGTGTAAGTGTAACCGCGGCGCACTTTATTAAAAGGTGGCGATACATCTGTAGCCGTGGGGAGTTGCAAATGACCATGGGTTATCACTTAACATCAGGCGAACCGCCAGCTCGCTTAAAAACTTCCAACAAAAAAAGTATTGCGCTTTCGCGTTTCAACCTGTGAGTGAGGTAACGAAGGCTCACTTTTTGAAGGTTGGCGATGCATCTGCCACTCTTCAACTGTAGCAGGTCTCCATGGACGGCGGTTATCACTTAACATCAGGCGAACCGCCCGGCCGTCAACGTTATACATAAAAATGCGTTGGGTTGGCCCCTTAGACGGAGGCCAAGTGCCGAGTGTTCTCAGAGTCATGCATAAAAACGGGCACGCGACGCGATTAAACGGCTCAGAGCATCCCAATTAGCGCTAGCAATTAATTGAACAAAAACGAAGTTAATAGCACCAGATTGAGGGACATCGTCCTTATAATCGGCGGAGCTGACAGCCCGCTTTTATTGATGGAGGTGCATAGTGAATTTAAATTGATATAGCTTTAAATTCAATACAGAAGCATTGCATTTACTTGTTGATTGTCAAAACACAACCACTTGTCCGGAACAGAAAAGCCACTGATCTGAGAAGAACTGGCGAAAGAAACTCAGCGGGACATTTTTATTTGTGCGGCTCACCTGATGTTAAGTGATAATCGCCGCCCATTGACACTTGCAACAGCCGTTGCAGATGCGTTGCCGTCTTTTAATAAAGCGTTTCCCGGCTACCTTATCACCAGATGAAACGCGGTGGTGTATCTTCCACTTAAGAAGCCAGTCTTCTGTGAGGTTGTGGTACTTACCCGGACGGACCTGCCCATTCGTGCAACAGCGAAGACTGTTACGCAGTGACGGATTAAACACGTAGCAAGAGTGGCAGTTGCTACGGCCCCGCATATTCAAAAACCACACATCTCTGCCTGAGCCTTAATTTTTTGAGTGAAACTCATTTAACAAGCGTATTGAATGGTATTTTACCACTTCATACTTAAGGGCCCGTAGCAGATCAAGGGCTGTCCGGGACTGCTGTTACGTGATCAACCAAAATAAACACTACAAATAAGGACAAACTTACTACGCCATTGTTTCGTCTACAAAAAGTAAATAGGTCGTTCATGGGGCAAAGTGTGCGCATGTATTATAAAATCCCACAGTCGATATTACGTCTGCCGCTTGACCAATTTAAACGCAAAATTTAAAGTGAACTTATGGCTGAGGCATATTATATCATTGCAGAATATCTTGCCAATGTGTGGGGTTAATACTGTTGATACTCATTTAGGCTCGAACAAGACTATTATACCTGTATATTATATTGTACCCTGATGCTTTTGAAAAAGAGCAACTGTTGAGTTCCTTGCCGGTCTCTTCTCAACAGAAACTGCTTTCCGAACCGGTGGTACCTTACGAACCTATATACATAAATCTTTGAGGTAAAATTTGACGATTCATAAGAGCGCGCAAGCGTCTATTTGAATAAATATATTTTTGATTTTGATTTTGATTTTGACCCTACAGTCCTGTGGGCGGCGAGAATCAATCCGGTTAATCGGCTGCAAATCACCGTACTCATTAATGGGACTCACCGTGAGATTTCTGGCCGCTTGGAACTTGTCGTGGACGATCTGGCAGATCGTGATGCTCTCCTCGCTCTTGCTGTTCAGGATGTTGTTGAGGATGTCCGGCACCCACATGTAGAGGCCGCTAGAGCTGTGGGATGAGACATCCGACCTCTTAATGATACTGATGTAATGAATGCCGAGTAAAGAAGTTTATTGATCTCAATATTTTTTATTGCAAATTATTTATTTATTAGATGACAAAGAGCTATCTGTTATCCCATAAGAGCTATCTAGATATATACGAGCCCAATTTTCAAAAGGTTATCAACGCCTCTGTAACCCTCGGGTGTAGCAGATGTCCATGGGCGGCGGTATTCACTTAACATTAGGTGACCCGTCTGCTCGTTTGGCAACTTTTTACGTAATAAAAAAAAAGTTTGTTTTGTGTTTTTTTATTTATGGATTTTTTAACGTTAATATTTTTTTATGATTATTGGCAAGTAGCCTTAGATGTGTGTTCATTTATTGTCGCGATGGTAACGACATGCAGTATATATATATATATATATATATATATATATATATATATATATATATATATATATAGATATATATATATATATATATCAAGTTTATATACTTATATATTTAATTTTTTTGTATCCTGTGTACAATAAAAACATAAATAAATAAAAAAGCATAGGTTTTAGGATTATTCCATGTAGACAGTCTAGAATGCATTACGTTAAATAGACAAATTAGAATCAACACATATACAGATTAGTGAAACACGAATACTAAACAAATTGTTTAATTAAAAATGTAGGATGTTGTTTATTTGTTATTAACAAACAAGAATAGAGAAACTAAACAGCGATTTATTAAAAGAAACAAGTTAGTTTACGGATTTTATCTTATTTTTATTTTGATTCAGTCACGGAACAGACTGTCTGTCCTAATTACACATTGTTGATTCGTTTTTTAAAGGAAAAATAAATAAATGTACAAATTAGTCTCCGTATAATAATGAAATAGTAGACGGATAAATGAAAAAAAAAAACAACATAAATTAATGAATAATAAATGCAAAAATAAGTTAAAAAGGTAATTAATTCAGCGGTGTCGCAAGTTATGAAACAGTTGGATGACTCCTGGCACAGTTGCAGGAGTACTGGCTTCGGCGCCGGGAATCATGGGTTCGATTCCCATAATCGTTTTGGATTTTGATGTTTGTCCGCGTGAAATATATGTCTGTAAAATGTCCTTACAACGCAGGTGAAAATGTTTTCATATAGTAAGCAGTGTTTTTTTTTAATGAAAAATAAGAGATTAATACTTGAAACTCACAGCATGAAAATGGCGAACATAGATATGTGTGATATGATCACGCATCGTATCAGCGGTGGACGGAACAGTAGGGATATGTTCTTGATGGCCCCCACAAACCCCCCTTTCGTGGACTCCGTGTTACTGGAAGCTATTTTCTCCACCTGAAATGTACAACGACAATAGCTAAGTGAATATAACTTTACTAGCGACCCGCCCCGGCGTCGCATGGGTGCAGTGCTGAATGTTTGTTTTCGATTCGCATTGGAAACCTCTAAAATTGTCCGTGTTTCTCTAATATATTATGCGTGAATTATACATATAAACCTTCCTCCCGAACCACTCTATCTATTAAAGAAAAACCGCAAAGTCCGTTGCGTAGTTTTAAAGATCTAAGCCTACATAGGGACAGACGGACAGCGGGACGACTTTGTTTTATACTATGTAGTGATAACAAAGTACGCAGCATTAACGACATGAAGATAATCAGATAATACAGTAACTAATTTTACTTAGTTCCTTTAAAGGTAACTTATACACGATAATTGACATGTAAAGAACTAAACAGGTTATTTGTTCATTTGGAACAGCAAAGATTATTTTTTAATATCCAATTTAATATACACCCTTAAAATCCAAGAAATTGTCTAAATTGCGTCTTACTATTTAGTATTAATTCTAATTAGTATTACAATGTAATACTAATTAGAATTCAACAAGACCGGGATCAGAGCTCGGGCTGGAAAATCACAAGAGAATATTACTTTTAATTGTAAAGATTGTTTTTTGTATATTCAATAGAAACAATACAAGACAATGATCATTTTGAACAGACAAATCAGCCACATAATTTCGAAGCTGACGGTTAATTATCCGAAATGCGTCATATTACCTCTCGGCCAGTAAAAGCTATTATTTCTCACTAAATTACCAATGTCTCAAGATGGTGCCTGAAACTCTACCGGAATCTGTCAGCCGTTTTTAGTTTTGATAATCCAATAGCGATAGATATTACGCAAATATAACAAATTAGTTACTTTTTATAGTGTCACAACTATGATGTTATATACATATACGAGGTAGATATTACACTATCGCTCGGAAACTGAGGCATTCATATTACGGTAATTGTCGTAATTGGTTAATCTGCTAGCTCTTTCCGTATGATTCGTTCGTATGTAATGTAATGATGAATACATCGTCTTTGTTAAAACATCATTGTGTCACAACAACAAATTTCGTCAAGCTATAAATGAAAACGCAACTGAAATCAATAGCAAGTACAAATAAAGAAGACTTGTAATTGGCACAAGTTGCCAATGTACGAGAGACGAATTCGTGGACAAAGCCACGGACAGCAGCCACTGCTATATACAGCGTGTCTTTACAATCGCGACAATAAATGGACATACTGTATTGAACATTTACATTCTTTAAACATCAATATTTACCGAGTTATTGAATTTCCCAAAAGAACGAATTTTAGAACAACCTTACATATAAAACTGTAACGTAAAGTTCATTTGTAAAGGCCACAAAGCATATGAATGAGTTGAATGAATTTGAAAGAGACAAAACATACTGTTAGAACGAGAGGCTTGTAATGCGACGCTGTGGCAACGAATGAAAAAGTCCCTGAATGTACTCTGAATGTATGAATCAATCAGTTGTATTTGTATAGGATGTTACAAATTTTGTTTCTTTTTTACTTAATTAGTTTGTTTGAAAAATTTTTTTTTTAATTATGGATTTTTAAACGTTAATATTTTATATGATTATTGGCAAGTAGCGTTAGACGTGTGTTCATTCATTGTCGCGATTGTAAAGACACGCTGTATATTGTACTTACAGGAAAGCAACTGGCCGCTTTGCCTTGGTTCCAAGCGAACATGGTGGATAGAACTGGAAGCGCCGCCTCCGGGCCCTTAGCCGCTAAAAGGTATCTAGGGGACTCCGGTAGCACCAATAGTGCTACGCTAGCCAATAAGCCAGGTGCACACCACGACCACATGAAGACGCGCCACGGTGCCAACCGAATCGCCCCCCATTGCCAAGTCCACTGGCCAGGTATTATCACCCAAGCGAGACCTGCCGAAGAGAAGTAACGATAAGAGATCAGTCCCAATTTTAAAGTAGTAAATCTACGACCTAAGCTGTTAGTCTACTGGGTCGACTCTGCGGAGAACCAGAACAGTATGATGTGAAATAAAGTGTATAGACATTGGCCTTTCATAGGGTGAATCTGTTATGTGGAAACTTGCTTTCTGAGACGGTGGCATAGCTTGTGGAAATCCATATGTTTTCCAAATCAAGGGCGAATTTGGATGCAGATGTTAGGAAAAAGGTAGGTAATTAAGACAAGACAATTAGTCGATTCCTTTTGCCGATTTGAAAAGGATATCGAGAGAGTTCCAATTGATTCAACATTTAATGGAGTTAGCTGATTTTGCCACATCGCAGTAACATAAGTTTGCATAATACTTTATGTAAAGTAGAAAAACCACAGCCTCACAGTGGACCGGGGTGAAGTGCAAGGGTTATACTTTCGCGTTTCAATTGGTGAGTAACCGAGGGCCCATTTAAAAAAAATGTAAGCAAGCCTGTTTTAGGTGTTGTTTATGTTCATGGGCGGCGGTAATCACGCGAAACACATGTTCGCTTGACAACTTTTGTCATAAAAAATCTGTCTATATATCTTAAAAGTGTATTACAAAAAAGTTATGGAGTCTGTATAGAATCTTTTACATGATATGAACACTGATCAACAGTCAGTGAATGGCTATAAATGATGTACTCGTCTAAATGTGACGAACTGAAGATTTTTGATCAAGCTATTAAATATCTTCTAGCTAATATCTTCTCTCATCTACAACATAGTAACTTTCAAATAATGACCAGTAAGAACTCTGCGGATTTAATTCGTACATAGACAATAGTTTTTTTTACTACTCTTCATGTCTTTGCTATTACACCTTGACCTTTGGGATGTCTATTACTTTTGCATTAATAAATTGTGCTTATATCGCAGCAATATATGAGGTTACCGGAGCGACCGCACTATCAGCCACATCAAGTGACATACTCGTAACACATATTTTATGAAATGCGTGACAACTTTGTTGCGAGTTCATTTCCTCTCTGTCCGTATTATTTATCGATTATTTTTTTATATTATATAACGTTGATTTTTTTCATTACGAGCTACAGTATAATTATGTTGTTCAGCATGAGCCTGACTTAATAAACATTTCATCGGCTTCGATAATGTTTTTGATGTATTCAAGCAAAAATTACATTATATTATGAAATCGGATATATTTTTTTAACAAGGCTTACCAACTAAATACGTATAGAAACAATTATTATTCTGATGAGATGCACTTAAAAATTAAGTTAAACATTGTATGTAATGAGAACAGTAAACTACAAAACTAGCACTACAAAAAATTAGAACAAAAAAAAACCTAACTTATATAAAGTATAGATAGAAAAAAGAGGAATGAAAAATCTTTTAAAATAAAAAAAATATTGGGCTACGTAATGTGTTAGCACCATCCTCTTAAAAAATAAACAATTAAGCTATCAAAATGGATATCCAGGTCACAATTTTCAAATGTTTAATTGAAAGCATTCAACAAAGATGATAAATGTGTGTTTTTGCCATATTCATTACGACTCTCTTTAATATGAAATGGTTTGTAATTATGTAGACGTGCACTTACACTTGGAACAGTGATATCAATATCAAGTAAGAGAGACCGACAGTCAATTTTAAAACTTAAAAGCTTTTGCAAGAAAGTTAAACTTAATAGATCTTATGCCTTTCTAAAGGTAATGCTAGTCTTTGCTTATGGCTATTAAGTGTGATAAGTCCCTTCGATGTAACTGAGTCTAGCTAACATTCTTTTTTGCACCTTTTCTATACGTTGTATATTGTTTTGATAACTAGGATACCAAACAAAGGAACAGTAGTATATATTGCTACAGATCAAAGCCAAATAGAGGGCTTTTAAAGCTGGTATGGGCTTGAATTCTGTAGTGTTACGAGAAATTAATGATATTAATCTATTACACTTATTTCTTACGATATCAATATGACGTTTGAATCTCATTTCAGGATTAATGTTTATGCCTAAATCTTTAACATATTTTACTCGATTAAGACGAGTGTCTGCTATATAGTAATCAGTCTCGAATTTTTTTATATTTCCTTGAAAATTTTATGTGGCGACATTATTTTTACATTGAATTACATGTTATGACATATAGAATAGAATAGAATATACAACACACACTAAGAAATGCATATAAAGAAAATACAGGAAAGTAATGTACATATAAGCGGCCTTATTTCTAAGATTATTATCGAATCTAATGTATGTTTCGACATTAAAGTATTGTTTACCTAAACAGAATTATATTCAGGATTACAAATAGCTCCACATGTAAAGAATTAGTTACAAAATTGTGAAATAAGATACTTATGAATTAGCCATAACCCAAACTATAATTCGAATCCCTTCGTAATTCGTTACTTTCGTTTATGTATATTACGCTATCAAGAATAAGTATAAAGTGTTTTGTCATTTTCCCTTGTATGAAGATCTCTAAACTTGACACCAACCTCGCTTATTTATTTATTAACGACCCTTTGTGCTTTGTTCGAGTAAACAGAACAATTTGCAGATGACGCTAATGAGAAATAATTGGTGTCATTAGGAATTTCTTTTTCCTTTACACCGCTTTTTTATTTCTTTAATGAAAAATGTTGATGGCACTTAACTTCCACCCAAGGGCGTTCTTCGCAACACCCGTGAGATACAGTTCTGCAGTGTAGTGAATAATTGTGCAACTTGCGATTTGCTGAAGCTTATTTTAATCGAATACGAAACGCAGTTTAACGTCAAAATCATTATCAGGTTTACGGATATTATATAAATATAAATATAATATAAATATTTTTAGGACACATTTGTACCCAACATTTTCTGGTCCCAAACTAAGCAAAGCTTGTACTATGGGTACTAGAAAACTGATAAACATACTTAAACATACTTTTCTTTTGTAAATAAATACATATTATACATATAGAAACACCCAGACACTAGAAAAACACCATGTTCATCACACAATATTTTTCCAGTAGTGGGGATCGAACCCACACCCTCTGGCGCAGGAGGCAGGTACACTACCCACTACGCCATTCGGGTCGTCGATGTAACATCAATTACAAAAGAAACTTTATTCAAGGTTATGCCTACGATGGATGGTGTTTAAATTCTTTATTATAAGGACTTAGGTTATTTCTTCCGTGAGCTTGATATTGTAGTCATGACGTCAAGAGCCTCAGTCTTGGAATTATATGGTATAGAATCTGTACATTTTTGTAAGTGACTACTGCTTATAAACTAATCGATAAGTTGACGAGAGTCCTTTGATTATTTTTCCAGACATTTGTCAGTCTGTGCCTAGAACTGTGTGGCTGCTCTGTATATTTAAAAGTGAAAACGCATGTGTACATGGTCGGTCGGTTATCTCGCTTGCCATCTTCATACATAAAAAAATTAAAATCATTGTAAAATAGGAGCTTGAGCATAATTATAAGAGCAGAAATACCCAGCTTTCGTCCTAGTTGCTAGATGACCGAAATAGAGATCTTCGCCATCACAACGGACCCATTAGAGTAAAAGAGACATGGCGGTGCATCGTTTTGCTGTGAGGATCTCTACTCGAATTATTGATCCATTTCTTTTTGAACTAGTTACCATTTATATCGATATGACTGTGTACCGACTGTTATCGATACGCCTGTTTTAACAAATAACCATTTTCGCTAGCAGCAGAAAGTAACTCATTTAACTTTAATCGCTTCATTAAATCAATATTCTATTCTCCACCAATCTACAAAGACTGACAGCGTCCTTGATGTCTGTCCATTTTTTCAAATTTTCACTCCATGTTATTCGTCTTCGTCCTCTTTCCCGTTTTCCTTCTATTTTTCCTTCAGTTATAATTTTCAATGTGTTACATTTCTCATGTCTATATATGTGATCCAAAATATGCGGTTTTACGTTTTTTAATAGTTACCAATATTTCTAGCTGTTTATTCATTCTATCAAGTGTCAAGTTTAACGGTGGTAGAGCCACGTAGCAGGCTCGGCTGTTGCACGAATGGGCAGGTTCGTTCGGGTAAGTACCACGACCTCACAGAAGACCGGCGTGAAGTGGAAGTATGATAAATACTTTCGCGTTTCGTCTGGTGAGTGAGGTAGCCGGAGCCCAATTTCCAAAAAGGTCAGGGCAAACCCTCGGGTGTAGCAGATGTCTATGGCGCCGCCCATATATTCACTTTACATTAGTTGAACCTTCTGCTCGTTTGGCAACTTTTCACATAAAAAAAGTACTTCTTCATTATTCTATCGTTATTCTATCTCTCAATGAAATCATCAACATACGTCTATATAGCCACATTTCGAGGGCGTTAATTTTTGATGCGGTACTTTTGTTTAGCGTCCAACCCTCGGCCCCATACAGAAGCGCTGACACAACGTAACACTTCACCATTCTCCATCTGAGTTTAAGTGTGATGTTTTTTGTTATTGTAAAGTTTTTTTTTTTCAGGGTCGGAGTCTTCGTTCAGTCAGGTATATATAATTATGTCAAATTAATATTGGATATATTGTAATGTGAAAAGTTTTAAATTCACACTATACACGGTACCCTGAATTATATTGCCTATACAGCAATGATGTCACAAGAATATTGACATTTTAATGTCCACTGTCACGACATCGTTCGTAGAAAAGTGGTAAGTTGAAGAATCAAAACACTGACGCAGGGTTGATATCGATGCTTTTAAATATATCGATGAAATTATATTGGAGGCAATCATTGCTAACTGTAACTCCAATCAATATTCAATATCTATTTTTTTCTTTATTTTTTTATTTTTTTTTAAATTGCCTTTGCCTTAGGATAACATCATCCTGTGTTAGGACGTTTTACAAACATAAATTTCACGTGGACAAACACCCAGATGCGAAACAATTATTTGTGGGTCACTCAAATAGTTGTATCGTGTTGGCAACTGCGCCATTCATTTAAGGCTTGCTTGAGAAATCAGGAAGACACTCTGCTCTCAAAAAGTATTTTATCTTTTATTTCCACGGATACGATACTACAGAATCAGTAGAAAATTCCGAGGGACACGGTGGTTTAGCCAGAAGATTTATCTATAAATTAAAAAATATCTTTATTTAGTCTACAATAGATTCGCCAAGCATTGCTTCAAATGCTAAATAACAATGTAGAGAGAAGGCGTTAAGATTTTCGTCGCTGTGGCTATCAGCCGTTTAGCTCAGTGGCTAGAGCGTCAGGCCGCGAATGCCGAAGACGTGGGTTCGATTCCCACAGCGGCGATAATCTTTTCGTACTTTTTCTACATGTTTTAATAGATTACTTCAAGCCTGTGGCTGTACCTTACAGTAAGGAAATATACCTAAGACTGAACTCCATGAAAGCTTACGTATACAAACAGCCCGCCCTACTTCGTTATAAGTGTAAAGGTGGGGCCCTTTACGAGCTTATATGGGGCAATAGCTTTGCAACGGAATAGCAAAAGCCAAGTTCAAATCGCGTAAAAGCAGTTATTGCCTATAATTGCGTTGTAACACTTGTAATTAATTGCGCAGCTGAGAATCGTAAACGAGAAGATTGCAGTTCATCTACCAAGCGAAGTCTCTATTTTTTATCTAATATTTTATCGGATAAGTTAAAATTATAGCCAAAACTTTAACTAAACCGATATAGGAACCAGATGTTATACGTACAAGTAAATAAGTGCATTTAAACACTATTCTAAGCAATCTTTAAAATTTTTCTGTAATATCATGATGTTACAACAGGCCTGTAGAATGCTGTCTCAATATGAAATGGGGCATGAAGTACACCCTCACGGATTTTCTCTTGCCTCTTTCATTAATTCGTGCAAAAGTAAGTTTAAAAGAACGCAGAAGTTACTATGCTTTCAAGATTTTACAAAGTTAGGAAGCAATGCACAATCTGCGTCATCTAATACATACTGACTGAGAGGTCACTAAATTCAACTTTGACCTATTTCATCGTTATCACACGAATAGGCAAAATAGAACTGATAAGTAATAGCGTATTGAGGTCGACCATGTGGTGTTACTACAAGGTACACTCGTGAACCATTGCTCGAACGTTTACAGAACAAGCGATTGAGTTTTATGGGTGCAAATAGGAAGACGGGTGGACTTTTTACCGACTTCAAAAAAGAAGGAGGTTTCTCAATTCGACCGCATATATTTTTATTTTTTTCATGTGTGTTCGCGGATAACTTCGTCGTTCATTAGCCGATTTTGATGATTCTTTTTTTTTTGGAAAGGGGATATCCCAACGGTGGTACCATGTTAAAGAAACCCGGATCAGATGATGGCACCCCAGATAAATCGAGGGCAATGTTATAGGTATTAACAATGTCTATTATTAGTTTACGGATTGAAGTCGGTTTTTTTTTGTGAAATACTAATTATACTTCATTTGCTAGAACAGTTGTCTCGTTAACTTAAGCAAAATTGGTAACAGGTTTAACAGGTCTCTTGAGTATTTTAAAACTGGCGTGTATTGAAAAACCGGCATTAGATGGCAAGGTCTTATGTACTTTTAGCATGCATGCCAATATACGTTCTATTTCCAAAAATAACTTATTGATCGTCCCATAAACGAATCCCAACCCGTAGCCTTAGGCTTTGCTAGTCCTTTTCCTCTAAATTCACAATACCATAATAGTTGTTTCGCCTTTACGTAATGGGTAATTTTTTCGAAATTCCGCCAACGAACGTTCCGTGACAAATGTTTCCACAAAATAGCGTTATTCATTGATCACCATAAGATAATTGCTTCGCAATCAAGCACTGGCCATTTCGTAATTAAAATTGAGAAATAAATAAATAGAGATCGTGTTAAGTTAAAGTACACAGCTGTTGAGTTAGAGTACTTACCCGGCAGGATGATGAAGGAGAAAGAGATGAAAGCGGAGCCCCAGGCGATGGCAGATGCTCGTCGGGAGCTCACGTGCATTTCGCCTAAGTAAGCGTAAACCGTCGCACTGGATGCTGAAACCCTAGAACAATGTACAAACATTGTCGAGGACAAGTTCTCAGGATTTGCAAACAGAAGTCAAATGTAGAAAACAATTATTTAAGATCATGCTAACAAAAGTCTCGAACTGTAATCAAACTGTAGAATTCGATCAATCCGTATATAGGTATACATTTCTTTAAGAGAATGTGAAAAGCATCAAGCCATACTTGATTAAGTCGATTAAGTTACACAAAGTTGACCTCCTGAAAATACGCCGAATAAAGCATGCATGCAGTCTGTCATTACAACACACTTGCGAATGGCTTACGTTTTTATCTAGATAGCTAACCATTGCTTAATTATGTAAACCGACACCATAAAAAGACTATTTAATAACATGTCATTCTACACACTTGCTCTAACTTTGATCGAATTCAAATTTAATAAATAAATATACTCTAATCACATAGTATAATTATACGGAACAAATAAGCCAATCAAACAAGGCAACAACGATTTAAATTTATACAAAGATAATATTTCTTCCGGTAAAACTTCGATATGTGTACGAAGCGTGATCGGTACCGTTTTCAAGAGAGTAAGGTCACTCAAAAGAACCTAAGAGGCTTTGAGTTAATGATCGGCTTGTATTAAATCATAAATATATCCAGTTTTATTTATGACTTAACATAGAATATCGCCAGATGGTTTACTATATCTTTAGTCGTAACTGGTGATTATGTCTAAAGTAATGGTAAAGTTTAAGCCTCGTACGAAAAGCAAAGCACTGAGAACGGTTACTGCTGTCCCTGGTCATCTGAAATTTATTTTCTTAACTAACGTAGTATACATATCAGCTTTCAGTACGTACAGACAACCGGTCAATATCCTCAGAAGCAGTATCATCCACACGTCGCTGGCGAAAGACGAGGCTAAGGAGAACGCGGCGGATGATATCATCGCTGGCAGCATCACGGCCCGTCGTCCGTACCTATCACCCAGGTATCCCCACAGAAACGAGGTGCTGATGATACCTGGACAAAGAATTTGTTACCAAAACATTTAACCCTGAAAACTGGCAATCATCATCTTTACCATTTTCGAGGTAGTTTCTACTGCCTCTTTATGAATGTGGTAAGGATCGTTGGAGAAGTAAAACAGACCTACAGAAGACGAATAGGAAGAAGAATAGTATAAATTATACTTTTACGTTTGGGTCCGAGTGAAGGAAGCAATGCACCTGCAGGCTTTCTGATGGTACGGATGTTTGTCATTCTGTCTGGCACATCTTCAATTCCTTGGAGTAGCCGGAGCCAGTACTGCCAGCGAGCGTACTCCTTATCGAACGTTTCTGGAGACACTGATTCTGAATTATTTGCTCAAGCGGACGGTAGTGATGTTTTTGAATTAAACAAGCATTATAAAGTTATGTTTTGAAAATCTAACAACGATAACAGTCACCGCCCATGATTACTATTCGGGTTAAGTTTTTTATTTCTAAACCTAATGGCATGATGAAACTGTCGTTATCGCGGTATTTTGTTACTGATTTTATTAGACATTCTTAAGGCTAATTGGCTCATCATTGATGTATAAAATAGACTTTTCATTTATAAGGTCACTATAATTATAAAAACAACTCATTTCTTTTTATTACTAGAGATTAGACTCAACTTGTTGATGTTTTTATTTTTATTTAACTATTAATTAAATTTTTTATTAAAGTATCATTGAGTGAACTTTGAAATTGAAATGAATTAATTGACGTAACACTTATTTCCTTTTTGTTAGGAATACATCCTTACTATCCTTACTTCCTTTTTTTTTTTTTTTTTTTTTTTAATCTTTATTTGATGGAGGGGGACAGTTCACAATTGAAGACGTAACCCCCATAATAACAACCAAATACAATATTAAATAACACGATAATATTAAACAATAGCATAATCAACAAGCATTTACGCGGTTCTTTATTCCTGCCTGTGTCAGCCGGTACAGTAAATTGGCTTCCGCTGAAAGAGGGAGAGACAAAACACTGTTACACCAGCCAACATTAAATGCAGCAGAAATATTTTGAGACAGAAATATTTGTCTCCTATACGGCTCATTTCGTACACACTCCATCAAAATATGGTAGACATCTTCAACCACACCGCATTTCCCATCATAAATGTGAATTTATTCAATGGGATATGTCCTGAGCGCAATCTGAAACTCGTCGTAATGTCATGTCTTCCCACATCACTTCTATCAAACCATGGCATCCGAGGTAAGGTTGGTTGTATGGTTTTATACCATATACCTTTCGTGAGGGATCTTTTATCAAAGTACTCGGACCATAATTGAGAGCAACGCTTCTTAACATTCCCCAACAGGTTTGTGTAGAAAGGTAAAATATTAATACTAACACCATCAACCGAGGCCTCTTTAGCCAGCCTATCAACTGCAACATTTCCTGTAATACCAATGTGGGAAGGTATCCATTGGACTATCACCCTGCTATTAACATTTAATTTGTGTAAAGAGTTTAATATATCATATGCTAATGGAATGCCTCTAATCATGTATGTACATCGATCCAAATGTTGTAAAGCACTTTTAGAGTCAGTGAATATGACAAATTTGTCGACAGTTCTAATTGAACTGATATAAGATAGTGCCTCTGAAATGGCAATAAGTTCTGTGAACATGATCGAAATAGAATTATTTATGCTAAATTTCATATAATTATTTGTTTGTACGTCTAAAAAAGCTGCACCCGTTCCTTCGCCATCTTTGGAACCATCAGTATATAATTTATAGTAGTCTGAATATTTAGTGTTCAGAAGTTCGTTACATAATAAAAGTAAATGTTGAGAGTTGAATTGACGTTTAGGCCTATCTATATTTTTGACATAAAATTTCAAAAAAACTGATGTATCAATGTTACTCATCCAGGTAGGTAAACTAAACATTTCAAGTTGTCTACTTGAATGCATGGATATTAATTTAAAATTCTCGAAGGTTGTTACTAATAAAGGCTTTTTCTTAGATCTCCAGTACATATTATGGCATAGTTCAGACAGTTTTTCTATTATAGGTATTAAATTATTATTGATTAAGGATTTAGATTTTAAGAAAAATTTACCAGCTAAAAATGTACGTCTCACAAACAAGGGCTGTAAATATAATTCTGATTCCATCACGTGTACCGGAGTACTTTTAATAAATCCACCCACAATGCGCATGAATTGATTTTGCACTTTATCTAATTTAACACAGTGGCTAGTACAACTAGTGTCATAAAGAAAGCTAGCATAATCAATACGACTCCGTATAAGAGATATGTATAGTCTCCTTAGTTGACATGGATGTATACCCCATTCCGCGCCTGTCAATAATTTAAATACATTAATGAACTGTAAAGATTTCATTTTTATTTCATTTATATGTTTTGCGAATCTCAAATTACTATCTAACCAAACGCCTAAATATTTAACAACAGGTACACACGGTAATCTTACTTCATTTACAAATAAATTTACTTCGTATTTCGCATAATTAGTCTTAAAAATACAGACCTGACTTTTATTTGGTGAAATTTCTAAACCAAGATTGTTAAGTAGTTTATTTAAAGTATTTAATGAGTTTTGCAACCGGACTGAACCGACAGCTATAGACTCACAAGTACAGTATAACACGAAATCGTCAGCATATTGTGATATAAAAAGATCTTTTTCAATTTTCTTGCAAATATTCATAGTTGCCACATTAAATAATAAAGGCGAAAGGGGATCACCTTGTGCTAGACCACGGCCAGTCATTCTAGATATATACCCTTTTTCAGTTTTAATTTTGAGATGTCTTTCCCTCAAAAAGTTCCATAAGTATAGACATATTTTAGATCCTACTTTTAAATTATGTAGAATTGAAAGGAGCATTTTAATATCAATATTATTATAAGCATTGTCAATATCAATAAAACAACCGATGGTCAGTGATCTACCAGAAAACCCAGTTTGAATACGTGAAACTAAACAACTTAAACCATCTAGACAACCTCTTGTTTTCCTAAAACCCACCGTATTATTTGAAAACATATGATATTTCTCTAAAAACCAGTCCAGTCGCTTGTTAATTATCGAGTGGAAAATTTTGCATAGACAAGACAATAAAGAAATCGGTCTTAGTGATGAGGTATGAATGGGGTCTCTGCCTGGCTTAGGGATAGCAATAATATTAATATTTCGCCACTGTATAGGGACAAAACTTAGGGAAAAAAAAACATTGAAAAGATCAAGCAAGATAATTTTACCATTATAAGGTAGATTTTTTACCATTGAATAGGAAATATCATCACATCCAGGAGATGTATCCTTCGATTTGATACATTTATCAAGCTCTTGTATGGAGATTTTCATTTCAAGACATGGGTTGCCTGTAGAAAATATTGGTTGCTTAGGTGTAACATAATCCGGAGTAAGACTTAAAAGAAGGTTTTCCGCTCTGATACTGTCTACGAATGTAGGTGGAGACCTGTACCCCATAATCCACTTCATTTTACGCCACAAATCAGTAGATGTCGTTGTTCCATCTACTGTAGAACAAAATCGCATCCATTCTTTATGCTTTGCTTGACGTATTAACTTTTGAGCCGTTCTCACTTTTTCTTGTAAAATGTCAAAGTTACTGGGAGTTGGATTCCGACGAAAGTTAGACAAAGCTAATCTTCTGGTTGCAACTGCCTTAGAAAGTACAGGACTCCAAAAGGGTTTAGGGCCAAATTTTGAAATTGGATGTTGGGGAATTTTAATAAAGGGCACATTAACATCTGCAGCTAAATTAATACATTCAATAAACATATCGTAAGCTCTTTGAGGTTCTTGCGGAAGTTGAAATGTGGAGAACATTTCTTCGAGGCATGTTTTGTAAGAGTCCCAATCTCCATTTTTATAATTTCTTTTACCAACTATGTTATAACTAAAGTAGCATTCAGTAGAAAGACGTATTATCATATGATCGCTCCCTAAAGTTTCATTCATAACACACCAGTTGAATTTTATTCCAATATCTGAAGTAACCAAAGACAAGTCAGGTGCGGATGCTTGCACAACGCCATTTACTAATTTAAGTCTAGTATTATTGCCATTGTTAAGAACAATGAAACTACTGTCAATGAGTGCATTTAAAATTTGTGTCCCTCTATAATCAGTCTTGTAGGACCAATTTGTATGATGGGCATTGAAGTCGCCTACTATCACGGTATTTTTTATTAAATGCTGAAAAAAGGAAGTCCCAATCTGCTTGACAAGTTCGAACTGAAGGGGGACAGTATACAGCTACTAAATGTTCTAAAAGGGGATAGTTATAAATTTTTAAGCAGATAATTTCAATGCCTGTGTTTGTCATCTGGAGATCACTGAGTTGTGCTTTCACGGACTTATGTACTAAGATAGCGACTCCCCCATATGAGTCAGCTCTGTCTTGGCGGAATATATTAAAATTACTAACTTTGAGAGGACTACCGGGTTCTAACCATGTTTCTGAGATAGTTACAAAATGGACTTTCTCTTGTGTTAACAATGGTGTCAAAGATAATAACTTAGGCCTAAGGCTTTGGGCATTCCATTGCATAAGATTTACTTTAATATGTTTTTTACCTTGGTCCATTAAATAAACTTATACATAATTGCAGCCACGGTGATTCTGTCATACCCATATATGATGCAACCCATTCAATACACAAGATAATAATGTTTTTTACCTTATGAAATAACGTACATTCTTGAAGATAAATGACTTCTTTAAGGCGTGTTAGTAAATCACTAAAAGTAAAGTTTGAGTTACATTCTCTTTCATTTTGACTACGGGTGGGTGTATTATTAACCTTATTATGACGTATATTATCATAATCTTCCCTCAAACTTTCATTCCAATCCATAGACTTGTGAACTTGAGCCTTTGCTCGTTTTTTAACTATACTTTTCTTCTTCAAAATATTACGCGTTTCTTGACAAACAGAAGAATATGAAGGCTGTTCTGAGTGCTCTTGACA